ACTCGAGTTAGAGACTCGGACTCGAGTGCGACTTAAGTCGCACACACAGTGACTTCAGACTCGACTTGAGACTCGTCCTCAAAAGACTTAAGACTCGACTTGGACTCGATGCACGGGACTCGTGAACAGTGTTTATTTTTTAGGACACGTCTGATGAGCTTGCCGTTATTCCCTCCCTCTGTTACCTATAACCTGCCTATGTAGCATCTGCTGCGCGCAGCCGCACGTGAGAGAGGACAAGAAATAGCGGCAGCTGCTGTGCCATTTATCATAAACTTTGGCTTTAAAACTTCATACAGCAAGACCCAAACAAAGAAGCGCCGAACGCAAACATGTGGTGAGTGAACATGTTTAGCTCAGCATTGGCCATCTAATGTTAGCTTGCTTCTTGCTTCAGCTATGAGGTTTACTCTGACTGTCGTTCGTTATGAAAAGATGAACAAGCGTTTGTTTACTTGCCAAACTTGTGGTGGTCAATTAACATAATCATTACGTCCCGCTGGCTGCCATCACGTTAATTATTGCCGTTGGCTGGAAAGAGGTTACAGATTTATTGTTGATCATGTAGTGTAACCTTACAGTTTTATTTAGTTATAGCCTAACATTACACTGGTTTGAGAGTCTACAGGGTGTGTTGACTTACAGTAGTTTAAGCTGTCAGTGATTGCATTGCACATTATGGTTGTGCTCTGTGAAAAACAGGTTACAGTTTATTTATTTGAGAGTCAGGAGGATGTGTTGACTTACAGTAGTTTATAAGCTGTCATTAACTGCATTGCACAGGTTATGCTCTGTAAGTTAAAAACAGGTTACGGCTTTATTGTTGACAATGTAACTTTACACTGGGTTTGGAACTCACTCACTAAAAACAGACAGGTTTATTGTTGATTATGCAACGTCACAGTTTTATTGACTTACAGTATTTAATAAGCTGTCATTAATTGCATTGCACATTACATGGTTGTGCTCTCAGTATTCCTTATAGCCATGCAGTTTTTTTTTACAACCTGTATTGAATGCAGCAGGTGATACAACATTCGTAATAACCACGAGAGACTTGAGACTTGACTTGGACTCTAGCTCAAAGACTTGTGAGCATCTCTGATGGGCGGTCCAGTCCATAGCATCAATGTCTTCCTCTTGCAGGAACTGCTGACACACTCCAGCCACATGAGGTCTAGCATTGTCTTGCATTAGGAGGAACCCAGGGCCAACCGCACCAGCATACGGTCTCACAAGGGGTCTGAGGATCTCATCTCGGTACCTAATGGCAGTCAGGCTACCTCTGGCGAGCACATGGAGGGCTGTGAGGCCCCCCAAAGAAATGCCACCCCCACACCATTACTGACCCACCGCCAAACCGGTCATGCTGGAGGATGTTGCAGGCAGCAGAACGTTCTCCACGGCATCTCCAGACTCTGTCACGTCTGTCATATGTGCTCAGTGTGAACCTGCTTTCATCTGTGAAGAGCACAGGGCGCCAGTGGCGAATTTGCCAATCTTGGTGTTCTCTGGCAAGTGCCAAACATCCTGTTTGGGCTGTAAGCACAACCCCCACCTGTGCACGTCGGGCCCTCATACCACCCTCATGGAGTCTGTTTCTGACCGTTTGAGCAGACACATGCACATTTGTGGCCTGCTGGAGGTCATTTTGCAGGGCTCTGGCAGTGCTCCTCCTGCTCCTCCTTGCACAAAGGCGGAGGTAGCGGTCCTGCTGCCGGGTTGTTGCCCTCCTACGGCCTCCTCCACGTCTCCTGATGTACTGGCCTGTCTCCTGGTAGCGCCTCCGTGCTCTGGACACTACGCTGACAGACACAGCAAACCTTCTTGCCACAGCTCGCATTGATGTGCCATCCTGGATGAGCTGCACTACCTGAGCCACTTGTGTGGGTTGTAGACTCCGTCTCATGCTACCACTAGAGTGAAAGCACCGCCAGCATTCAAAAGTGACCAAAACATCAGCCAGGAAGCATAGGAACTAAGAAGTGGTCTGTGGTCACCACCTGCAGAACCACTCCTTTATTGGGGGTGTCTTGCTAATTGCCTATAATTTCCACATGTTGTCTATTCCATTTGCACAACAGCATGTGAAACTGATTGTCAATCAGTGTTGCTTCCTAAGTGGACAGTTTGATTTCACAGGAGTGTGATTGACTTGGAATTACATTGTGTTGAGTTACACGGTAGCTCCGCTTTAATCTTGAGAAGCTGCAGAGCTGCAGTCTCTTTTCATTCAACTTATAAATTTCCAGCTAAACTGATGCTTTTTGTTGACCCTTTTCTCTCTCTCTCTCTCGCCTGTCATTCAATTAAATTCAAATTAGCTTTATTGGCATGAATGTATAACAACAATATTACCAAGGCATCATACAAACTACATAATAACAATCAACCACATACATTTCATTAAACAAATAATTAAAAGTAAAGTAATTCACCGGTCTCGGGTGAGTTTTGCTTGCATGCCACAGACAACTCGGCACAACACCATTGAAGCCGGGTCTCAGTCTCTTCAGCAAGTGTTCCTTGGATACATGCTACGCCTACACATGCGCACTGACGATCCAGGGTTAGGGTTACAATTTTGGATTTATTTATGCACTTTTAAAAGCATTATTATTATTATTATTATTATTATTATTATTATTATTATTCTTTTTACATGTTTATTTACAGCATTAAACGTTGAAATGTATTTTGTAATAGGCTGTATATAAACTTATTGGGAGAAAACTGGTAGTTCTATGTAAAATCAGACGTTGAGCACCCCCATGTTGCCAAAATGGCATGATCCTTGTTTCATTGCAAAGCTTCGACTGTGAGATTGACAGCTGAGATGGAAGGTCCACTGCTGGCGCTGTGTTGCCGTAGCTTAATTGGATGTCACCAATGCATTGCAGTCCTATTCACCTGTCTGCCCAGAGTGTAGGACTCCAATTACCCAGGACAGGACTATGTCTGTGGCTGGCCTGTCAGAGGTTTTGGAGATCGTGAGAGGCCTTGAGTAGCCAATGATTTGTCTTTTGTTTGGTCGGTTTAGTTTTGTTAAAATATGTTGTTGTTCATTGTGGCATAACCTCTGGGTACTGTTCAATTTGTATCATGTGTTATATGTCATATTTGGTAATTCCAGTGCTGTTTTAAAGGGGTCCATGAGGGGAGAAGAAGAGGAGAGAGGTGATGGAGTAAAGATTTTGCTGCACTGTTTTACCTATTTGTACTCAATAAATGTATGGGAAAACCCAGAGTGTTTGACTGTGTTATTCTCTTTCACACACCCACATTGCTTACAATAATGGTGAATGTTTCAACAAGGCTTTACATAATGTTTGTTGAGTTTATTCAGGGGCAATTAATTGTTCTTTAAGGTGTTCAATAAAACACAGAACTTGACTGATCTGTTTAGTAATGGCAGTTCAGTGAGTTGAATCAAGAATCTTTGGCTAACTTTAGCCTACTCTGTGACAAAATATTAAAGGCCAAACCATGGAGAACCATAGGCCACATAACACAAAAATTAAAGCTTTGCCAAATATTGGCACCGTGCATTGGGCAGTGGTAGGAAAAGTCACATTTCTCAAAGAGTAAAGCGATTTGAACAGTGAAAACGGTTTTATTGTTATTACATTGTGAATCCATTGTAGGCTAATAGAGACCTGCTTTGTGAGCTTGGCTAGTCAAGCTAAATATAAAAATATATGTTAAATGTATAAGCATATGGTAGTAGCGGTATTGTCATGGCAGCAATAAGGTCAAAGTTCAAGATAAATCAACTCTTTCTACCAGTTAGACTCATCACTAGTCTTTAACTTTCACAGATTAAGTAGGCTTAATCAAATAAATAAACTGATCATTACATAGGCATTAATCACAGCACTAATAGGCCTATAAATTACTAATATAATTCCCGTGTTTGAGCCCATCGACAATTTAATTAATAATGTAATAGCTAATTTAACGTATAGTAAAGTGACAGACATATGACAATTGTGAATAATGTTCAATATTAAGGCTAAGTTATTTGTTTATTTAGTTTCTGCTCCTTTTTACATTGATCGTTAAAAACGCGGACATTTTACTTTGAAGGCGAGTTGTCTCTGTTTCCGGTTTTAGACTTCCTTGTCCAATTTCCATTGTACAAGTTAGATAATGAAACACGGCAACGCTTTGGTGCGCTGAATTGCATTGTACGTCTTCATTCAATGCGACAGTAACACAGCATAGTGCTAACATCATTTAGGCGGTATTGGATCTGGAAAAATGGGTCCACTCGGTTCAATATACACTTGTATTAGCACAAGTAGGACAATGAAATTAGGGAATACCCCCTAAACTGGCATTTTTTATCATACAATGTGAACAACTGCAGATGAATTATACGTCATGCACGGACACAGATTATTATCTAGTAAGTTAAATAGATTTAATGTAAAGACCTAAAATATTCTACATAAGAAACTACAGACATTTTAAGTACAAACGTTAAAAAACCTTATCTGATAATATCAGTGATGTTGCCAGAGAAACATAGATTTAAAGAATAAATACAAAAAGTAAAGCACCCTTTGTGCATATACTGCTACAACCAAAGCCGCTTGAACCGCGCTTGTTATTAACGCCGGGACGCCCGGCCAACACAGGGGGTTAGCCGCTGCAATCAATGTACGGTAAGCATGCAATCGACTCCGCCTGCTTCTCGAGAGTTTCGGCACATGCAGGTCACGCTTACAAGTGAATCCATACGTTAACGTTGGAAGAACGCATTGCGTCGAGCTACGCTATTGGCTACTGGTACACAACGTCAAATTTTCAATGAGCCGCCATATTAGGAATCCAGCCCCTCTTTCATTCGGCTAGGAAAAGGCAGGATATAACGTTACTTCCCGGGTAGTTTTCGTAAGTGCCGGTTGTCGTTGAGCGATTGAATCTAAATCGTTACACTTGCACAGGCGGTATCATCGTTTGGGTCGGTTCCCGTCTTATTTAGCTCCTCATCCACAATGGCGACCGCAACTCCGACCACCCAGAGAAGCACGTGCGGCAGCGGCACACCGCTGAGCCCCAGCAGGATCACCAGACTGCAGGAGAAACAGCAGCTCAGGGACCTCAACGACCGTCTGGCCGTTTACATCGATAAAGTCCGCAGTCTGGAGTCTGAAAACGACGTACTCCACCTGCAAATTAATGAGAAGGAAGAAGTTAGGAGTCGAGAGGTAACCGGACTTAAAGCCCTGTATGAGAATGAGCTGGCCGACGCCAGGAGATGTTTGGATGACTCCTCGAAGGAGCGGGCCTGGCTACAGATTGAGCTGGGAAAGATCAAATCCGAGCACGAGCAGCTTGTACAGAAGTAAGCCTCTAACACTTTCATGATGCTATACAGTGCAACATGGACACGAATTCAGGGCGATTCGCTAAAGGCTTTATCCTGACTTTGATTTTCGAGCCACTTTTGCAACATTACGCACAGAGCCCGTCAGGGGAGGTGACGTCAGCCCGTCCGTTGAGAGCGCCGCTCAAACTCGGCCTATTAAAAACTGATCCTATAAAAACCAACCTTCTGAAATGATTGGTAGTGGCCATTACCCGACCACAGCTGTCTGTGATGCTGAAAGAGAATAATTCAAAAATTGTGTGTTTTTTTTTTTAAAAATCACACAAGTGGTATGGAATTACTGAGGACATGCATCAGTCATGTAAAGGCATAATTTATATATACAAATTGAAAACTGGGGTTTGTAGTTACAAAACACACACATCCACAAACATGAAACACATGTGTCTGTGTGTGTATTCCATATATCTGACAGGAGCAACTGTTACTGACAGCTGTTGACCTGAAGTGGATGAATAGACAATGTGCAGCCTTTAATGCAGCCTCAACTGTTGAGGCTTCATGACTCTCTGTAAACAGAGGATACTGCGTTCCAGATACACATGTACCACTCCCAGCTGCTGTTCAGTGTGAACAGTCAGATGTGGTGCTGTTGTGTTGCTGAACAAATGAGATACTTATACATAGTTTGTCTATTAACCTAACCTAGGGCTGGGCAAAAAAACAATGATAATTATCGCATTACAACTTTCCTCAATAGTAAAACAAATGTTCAATATATCATCAATAAATGTTTGATTTAATTCATTTGAATCAAGAACTAATTGGCACCTAATTTTTATACCTTTTTTTTGCGGAAAAGGGACTGAAAATATGTCATACTAATCATTTTTTGGAAAAAAGATTTTATTATAATTGTTTTGAATGTTCTACCTCAGATTTGTGAAGTGATCCACAGTTTGGCATCAAGTGTTTGTCCCGTTCTGACAATAGAAAAGTTTAATCACACAACCATCTCCCCCCCCCCCCCGAAAGTCGAAGGTCGAACCCGGACCTGTTAAATGCGGGACGGCCACACTGCCTCTGTATTACTGTGTAGAAATGTGCCATGCAAAGTAATCCACTATCACTAAACGTCTCTTTCATTGTTAACTTCCGTTGCGGGACCAAGCACTGCTTCTACCATGTTTAAGTAGGCTACGAACTTAAATTGTTTGTTTGTTTGTTTTTTTTGTGTGGTTTAACTTTTTTGTTGATGTACGATCGGGAGTCTGCAACGGGTGTTTTATTTTGAAAATCAATCAGATTCTCTATGCCGCTCTGTGTCTGACTTCCTGCCTGGTTCATCTGCTCTGTGCTGCTTGACATGGCTTCCATCAAAAATAGACTGGCAGTGAATTTTGAACTGTAACCAATTCAATAAAAACAATCTAATAATAACTGCAATATCTGGCAGAAAAATCACGTGTATGTATGTATATATATATATATATATATATATATATATATATATATATATATATATATATATATATATATATATATATATATATATATATATATATATATATATATATATATATATATATATATATATATATATATATATATATATATAATGAGAGAGAGAGAGAGATGACACCTGAACAGTGATTATCTCTTTACCATGGCATCGGTCAGTGGGTGGGATATATCAGGCAACAAGTGAAGATTGTGTCCTCAAAATTGATGTGTTAGAAGCAGGAAAAATGGGCAAGCGTGAGAATTTGAGCAACTTTGATAAGGGCCAAATTGTAATGGCTAGACAACTGGGTCAGAACTGCTGTGGTCAGTACCTAACAAAAGTGGTAAAGGAAGGAAAAGCTGTGAACAGGCGACAAGGTCAAGGGCTTGTGGGGAGGGAAGGCCCTGATCCAACACATGAGCTACTGTAGGTCAAACTGCTGAAAATCTTGATGCTGGTTCTGATAGAATGGAAATGGTATTCCCTGGCGGCAGTGGCCTCCAAATTCCCCAAATCTCAATCCAGGCCAGTCCAAACAAGTCCGATCCGCGGAGGCCCCAACTCGCAACTTAGAGGACTTAAAGGATCTGCTGCTAACGTCTGTGTGCCATCTGGGCAGCTGTGGCTCAGAAGCTAGAGCAGGTTTCCCACTAAATGGAACCTGGCTCCTCCAGTCTGTATGTGGACCCCAAATTGTGTATGAATGTTAATTTATGCAGTTGGCAAAAGCTCTATACACCTTCAGAGGTCTATCTCCATAGACCCCCATGTTAAGATTTCCCCCTCAGGTGGCCCGCCGCTAGGTAGTTCACCACTCAGACTTCATTTGGCCTGCCTCAGCTCCACCTCTTTGCCCATTCAAAATATGTTATCTTCTGAGTGTTCCAAAATCACCCATTTTTAGACGGGTTTTTAGGCTTCTATCAATAGATCTGATTGGCTTGCAGTTAAAAATATAACAAGCAGCTTCAATGGCAAGAACCATAACACAGCAAAAATGATGACCTGGTGTTTTTGTTGTCGTTGCTGCAAGAGGGCTTATATGGTATGTGGGCTTAAAGGGGATGGTTTTACAAGCAGTCACTGCCATCACTCACCATGCCTTGTCCTCTCTTTACAGCTACAACAAGAAGGACTCTGAGGCAGCAGGAGCCCAGGCCAGGCTGAAGGACTTGGAGGCTCAGCTGAACACTAAAGAGGCCATGCTGGCTACAGCACTATCTGAGAAGAGAGGCCTGGAGGCCACATTGGCAGATCTGCAAGAACAGCTGCAGGAGGTACAGTAGTATTGTATCATGACCATGATAAGACTGGAAGGATTTTCCTTTCTTTGTACCTGTTCCTTTTTAGTGGTGTAATAGTACACAAAGCTCAAGGTCAATTCAAGGTTTGAAATGTACCTTGGTTTGGCAGGAAAACATTTTTATTAATCTATTCTTTAATTAATTTTGAAAATTGTGAACATTCAACAGTGGCTCATTGGTAGTGCGCTTTGATTTCTGTGATGCTGAAAACACGGACAGAATGGCAGAATTTGATCATAAAAATGGAAAACTGAAACGTGGAATATGGTGGAATTTAATAAATTATTTAATTAATAATTTAATGAACAACACCTTTTTAAACACCAAGGTTTCCACGTTAATGCTCCCTCCAGTGACTCTGACCTGTTAATTCCTGACAACTGCAGCTTGTACTCATTTATAGGCTGCTGGGCAGACACAACTGGCTGACTAAAATGCACATCTGAATAAATAGTAGCGGGGCACAAGCACTTTGACCATATGATTAAAGCCTGGATACTCTACCACTGAGTAGGGTTGTATATCCACAGTGATAAACATGTACGTGTATATGTAGCTTTGGCAATATTGTTGCTATACATTCATGTCAATAAAGCTAATTTGAATTTAAACACAGTCACTGGGTGTCCCAAACAGAGGAAGTCGCGTAAGGGGGATGTTCCTTTGAACAATGTTGTTTGTGATTGCATCTCAGGTTCTTCTATGGTATGGCCATTTTTAGTCTTGAGAGTTGTTCAGGATTTGCTAAAGTTGAAAACCCTTTTCAATTCACCAAACTTATTTTCAAAGCTCCACCTGATTTTTTTTTTTTTTCTATGTTGTCAGCTGGATACAGGTCTCGCTCAGGCCAAGAAGCACCTTGCAGATGAGATGCTCATGCGTGTCGACTTGGAAAACCGCTGCCAGAGTCTGACTGAGGAAATGGACTTCCGTAAGAGCATGCACAAGGAGGTGAAAATTTGACATTTTATTAAGCCACAGTAGACAAGACTGGCTCTGGGGTTATGGCATCAGTATCATCATTATACAGTGCATTCACAAAGTAGTCAGATTCACATTTATAATGTAGAATACTGTGTGCTGTGCTGCAGGAAGTAAAGGAGGCCCGGCAGCGGTATGAGACGCGACTGGTGGAGGTGGACTCTGGTCGAAAGGAGGAATATGAATATAAACTGACTCAGGCCCTTGCTGACATGAGGACTCAGAATGAGGAGCAGATCAAGATCTACAAGGACAACATGGAGAGCACCTACCTGGCCAAAGTATTACCGCACACACTGTAAATGCTCCGTATTTGTATAGCGCCTTTCTAGTCTTTTCGACAACTCAAAGCGCTTTTACACTCCATCTGCATTCACCATTCACACACATTCATACACCGAGCAAGGTGTATAAATGTGTGCTCAAACAGAACTAACATACACATTCATACACTGGCGGAACAGCCACCAGGGGCAATTCGGGGTTCAGTATCTTGCGGTTTGCCCTTCCGATTATCGGGCAACCTGCTCTAACTCCTGAGCCACAGCCGCCCATATTTACTGTCTCAGTACATATTTTCCATTCACATAATAATCCATTCCATTTGAAAGAGCCAACTGAAATAAGTCTTCTGTTTGTACCTGCTGTGACAGGAGGAATGTGGAATGACTGTCTCTTTCAGTGAATTTATGTAGAAAGCAAGTAAATATAATATATATAATATATTTGTCGTGGCTCATGAGTTACACTGTATTATGTATGAGGCGTTTCAATAAAAGATTTGATCAGACACCAGCCAACCAATCAAAAAAGTATGATTGCTAAGAGCGCAGAACGACAATATATGATCAAAGTATGTAGACAAGACTTTCCACCAGATTTTGGAACATTGCTGCAGGGATTTGTTCGCATTCAGCCACACATACATTAGTAAGGTACTGATGTTGCGTCTAAAACATGTCTTTGCAGAACATATAATGCAGAAAGCATGTTGTCACGTAATTTGTCTAGTTAGTCAGCACTGCATCACATTCTGTGCAGATGCAGTCAGACGGTGTCGTCACTTTTCCCTTTTCAAGATAACTAATATAATGTTAATCCTGTCCCTGATAACCGCCATGTCAGTCTGGAAAGGAAATGATCTTGGCTCATCTCAGATCTCAGGGGATCACCTCCCTAGACCCACTTCAGTTTGCCTACTGCCATAAGATGGGTGTTGAGGATGCCATCATCTACCTGCTCTAGTGAGCCCACTCTCGCCTGGACTCGGTTGGAAATACTGTGAAGATCATCATCTTTGACTTCTCCAGTGCCTTTTACACAATCCAATCTATACTACTGCAGGAGAAGCGCCAAAAGATGCAGTTAGATACCTCCACAAGGAGCATCACAGGGGACTGTACTCTCACCTTTGCAGTACAAGTCTGAGTCCTGTCAGCTGCAGAAACGCTCAGATGACTCTGCCGTTGTGTGGTGAGTCAGTGGTGTAGAGCGTAGAGATTGCTTTGTCTCATGATGTGGGAATAATCGCCTCATTTTAAGTGTGGCCGCCTCTGAGCAGGGAATGTTGGTAGTAACAGAGCCAGAATGATGTCTGTGTGAAAAGCCACAGCCAGCATGCAGGAACAGGCTGCTGTCCCAGAAAGCCGGATTGATATGTGAAAGCACACACTGTTGTGGGATTATGCCGCATTATGCAGCTGATTGGTGGACATTCGTTCTGGGTTTATTGCGGGATCTCTGTGTGAAAGCAGCTAGAACAAGCTGATCAAGAGGGCTAGCTCTGCTGGGGACTGCCCTGCAGCCTCTCCAGTTGTGGAGAGAGAGATGTTGCACAAACTGCTCAAAATTATGGATAACACTTTAAATCATCTGCATTAAACGACTGGCCGGACAGGAGACTCCTTCATCTCCGCAGTAATAAGGACAGCTACAGGAAGTCATTCCTGCCCACTGCCCTTAAAATATGCAATTACTCCGCTCTGGGCAGAGAGAGGAGACACACATTTGCACAGATGTAGTTTGAGAGAAATACACGATTACGAAACATTTGTGGTCACCTGCTGTTACATGCGCACGAAGGTCAAGGACATTCCAAAAGTTACAAAGCTGGGAGCATGAAATTGTCCAAAATGTCTTGGTATGCTGAAGCATTAATAGTTCCTTTCACTGGAATCAAGTGGCCAAGCCCAGTCCCTGGAAAAACAACCCCACACCATAATCCCCCTCCACCAATCTTTACACTTGGCACTCAGGCAAGTAGCGTTCTCCTGGCAACCGCCAAAACCAGACTCGTCCATCGGATTGCCAGACAGAGAAGCGTGATTCATTACTCCTGATAGCACGTCTCCACTGCTCTTGAGTCCAGTGGCTCTCTATGCACTGGGCTAATACGAAGGCCACATGACATTTAGAGGTCTGTAGCTATTGACTATGCATCAAGTTGGCGTCTTCTGCGCACTGTGTGCCTCAGCGTGCACTGACCCCGCGCTGTGATTTTATGTGGCCTACCACTTCGTGGCTGAGTTTCTGTTGTTCCCAATCGTAGTTTGAATATATATTTGGACCTTTGTTAATTGTAAATTATGTAGTAACCTTCCTCATGCGTATTTATTGTGTTGTATATTTTCTATCCATCCATACATCCATGATAAATAAATCTACCATGTACCTTTTTTTAAATCTGTCTGTGGCAGTGTGGTGAACTAATAGTGATGTGTTTTATGCCAACCAGCAATAATTGATTTTGGAGCTGAGTGGAGAGCAACTGGAGCGAGAGCAGCAGTATGGCAGAGCTTATACGTCATAAGCACGTGTCAACAGTGTTTTGAAATTACTCGCACTGTCAGAGGGGGTTCTGCACTGCAGGTTTAAGTTTCGTCATCACTAAATGACTACATGTGTGAACTTATGGTTTGATGCTGTACATTAATAAGAAGGTATTTTGCTGTTTTGACTAAGGTCAAGGTATTCTTTTTTTATTCATCAAAATCCTTAAGACAAGATCTGATAAAATGAAAATGATTATTTGGCAGCAATCAAACTGTCGGAAAACACAGGTAGTCCAGCTGCTTATGGTACTGACTGGTACTGCTTTCTGTGGTTTCAGTTAAAAAATCTTAATCTAGTGAAACTAAGTAATATGTGTAAGGGAGCCAACATACCAAACAGCATAGTACTAACTTCCTGCATGTCAGGAAGTGTCTGACACTGCACACTTCCTCTTTTAGGGTATGATGAGAAGGAACCTGTGTTGATGTTGCTAACTCTCGTACCTTCTGTGTCTCCAGCTGGAGGATCTGCGTCGGTTATCTGAGATGAATGGAGCATCAGCCAACATGGCCCGAGAGGAGCTCAGAGAGTCCTCCCTGAGGATCGAGAACCTCAGTGCTCAGCTGGCAGGACTGCAGAAAGAGGTTGACATTTTATTTTACTCATTAAGTTTTAGTGGTTTTTTTTGTTTCCTAAGCAGTTATATTTATTAAAACCCTGTGAAATCCAAAGCCAACCACTTTTGTCAATACTGAATCGAATATTCTGGAAGTAAACTGGAAGAAGTTGGAATAATTATTAATTATAAGTATGACATTTTGTGACATTGTTAACATTAGATTTGACTGGCAAATGCAGTCTCTTGTCAGATGCCATCAGTCTGAGCACTTCCTAACTCTTCCAAACATAATATGCAGAAAAACAAGACAACTCCAAAACCTTGCATCTGGCTGGACTATGCAAAAGTTTGACATGCCCAGTTTGTTAGTAGTGTCTGACAACATTATGGAAAGGATTCTTACAGATAATTTTTTTGCCTACACAATATACACACAGAGGTACAGACAGCAAAGGTAATGTTGCTATAGACTAAATGAAACGGTATCTATATTTATAATAGTGTTAATGATAATAATCATAATGTTAATGATTATAACAATAATAGGACTAGTAACAATAGTTGTAGCAAAGGGTGTCAAGCAGGAACACGGGGGCAGCAGGTGACTCGCAACCACAGATCCAGACTCCAGAGCCAGAAACACCTGCAGGAAGTGATAGGAGGAGAGAGGAGAGGGACGAGAAAGCACAAGACTACCGGAAAGGGGAGAATTTGAGTTAGTAACATGCAATAATGGGATGAGGTTGCATACAGAGGGAGAGAAAGTAGAGGAGAGAGGAGCTCAGTGCATCATGGGAAATCCCCCAGCAGTCTAGGCCTATAGCAGCATAACTAAGGGATGGTTCAGGACTCACCTGAGCCAGCCCTAACTATAAGATTTATCAAAGAGGAAAGTCTTAAGCCTACTCTTAAATGTGGAGATGGTGTCTGCCTCCTGAACCCAAACTGGAACCTGGTTCCACAGGAGAGGAGCTTGATAGCTGAACGCTCTGGCTTCTAGTCTACTTTTAGAGACTCTAGGAACCACAAGTAACCCTGCATTCTGGGAGCGCAGTGCTCTGGTGGGGTAGTAAGGTACTATGAGCTCTTTAAGATAAGATAGTGCCTGATCATTAAGAGCTTTGTAGGTAAGAAGAATGATTTTAAATTCTATTCTGGATTTCATTGGAAACCAATGCAGAGAAGCTAAGACAGGAGAACTATGATCTCTTTTCCTGGTTCCTGTCAGAACACGTGCTGCAGCATTCTGGATCAGCTGAAGAGTCTTAACGGACTTTTTCGAGCAGCCTGATAACAAGGAATTGCATTAATCCAGCCTAGAAGTAACAAATGCATGGACTAGTTTTTCTGCATCATTTTTAGATGGTATATTCCTGATTTTCGCAATATTATGTAGGTGAAAAAAGCCGGTCCTTGAAATTTGCTTAATGTGAGACTTAAACGACATGTCCTGATCAAAGATAACTCCAAGATTCCTCACAGTGGTGCTGGAGGCCAGGGCGATGCCATCAAGGGAAACTATATCTTTAGATAATGCGTCACGGAGGTGCTTTTAGATGATCTGATTAGTTTCATCTGGCTTGATCGATATATATAACTGTATCATCTGCATAACAATGAAAGCTTATGGAATATTTCCTGATAATATTGCCTAAGGGAAGCATATATAAAGTGAACATGCTTGGTCTGAGGACAGATCCTTGAGGAACTCCATGACTAACTTTGGCTTGCATGAAGGACTCATCGTTAACATGTGCAAACTGAACTCGATCTGATAAATAGGACTTATACCAGTTTAGAGCGGTTCCTTTTAATGCTAATGAAATGTTCCAGTCTCTGCAATAGGATCTGATGGTCAATGGTATCAAATGCAGCACTAAGATCTAATAAAACCAGTACAGAGACAAGTTCTTTGTCTGATGGTTTAGATGAAGAAATTATTGAAGTTAGTTGGTAAAGATTGAGGGAAGCAAAACAGTCTAAACATATATCTGGTTTTACAGCTGTTTCTAAGGTTCATGAGTTTAGAGATAAGTTGGTGCCAGTTAAGGGCAGGTCTTGGTGAATTTTGTTTCTAATAGCTAGAATTTTATCATTAAAGAAGCTCATGAAGTCGTAACTACTGAGAGCTACGGGAATGCTTGGCTCAATAGAGCTGTGACTCTCTGTCAGCCTGGCTACAGTGCTGAAAAGAAACCTGGGGTTGTTCCTATTTTCCTCTATTAATAACGAGTAGTACGCTGCTCTGGCATTAAGGAGGGCCTTCCTATAAGTTTTAAGACTATCTTTCCAAATTAAACGATAATTTTCCAGTTTTTTGGAACGCCAATTCCTCAAGTTTCTGCGATATTTGCTTTAATTTGAGAGTTTCAGTATTATACCACGGAGCTAACCGGCTTTGTTTTAGTATTTTCTTTTTTAGAGGGGCTACAGAGTCCAGTGTCATTCGCAGCGAGCCTGCAGCACTATCAACAAGATGATCGATTTGGGAGGGACAGAAATTAGCTGTTACTTTGTGACTTTGAGAGCTGATGGAATCGCATCCTTAAATTTAGCTACAGCACTATCAGACAGACATCTTGTATAGAAATTTTTTCTCCCATATGTGACATAATAGTGCTGTCAACATTAAAACACAAAAAAATTAAAACACACAAAAAAATAATAAAAATTGAACACCATGTTAAAGTTCATTGTGAGCACCAGAACAAGACTGAGAGATTACAGGCTTCAGAAAAACCTACTACCTTTTTTAGGCAAACTCTAATCCACCAAACAAACTCGGAGGCGGCTGTCACACACCTAATTTCAGCCCAGCTACCTGTCTGCAGGCATAACGCTCATTATATGCTGACAAAAAAGGTGGATGTAAATCTCTGCAGGTAGCCTACAATATCTGTTCTGTCGAATTATGCATCCACCTCTTAAGCTCCTTATCAGAAACGTAGCTGATCAAACGCAGTTATCCCCTCAGATTGTTTGCTGAATCTCAAGGAGAGCTATATCTACAGAGTGTAATAACTTATTGATGACTCAAAACGTCCTTCAGTATGTACTTCGAATCAATCATCCCCACTGATGAACCCCACAAAGAATAGTATATCATTTTTAAACCGTAACGTTACACTCAGAGGTGCATGGCTCTCCTCGGCGAGCAGGTTTGACTGAACTCTGCAGCCGCTCCCCCCTCGGCTCTCTGCCTTTTAAACCCTTTGTGTCCCTCTAGTTCAGGTGCAGCCACTTACAATAGTATCTGACTAGTATCTAACTGAACAGTGACTCCGTTAGAGGTTGTAGCTAAATCTCACATTGCCCGTTTGTAAAGTTTACCATTAACATAACATCAGCTAACTGAGAGCTGAGCCTTTACAACTTCCCACAGACGCCTTTTCTTCAAAGCATTATCACCCTAATGTCTAACACTAAGGCTAATCTAATACATTTTGGCTTCTCTCTTCTTCCTGAGTTGTCTTTGACTCATTAAAAGCTGCGGTTAGAACACACTTACTAATGAGCTAAGCTAACAAGCTATACGCCGACAGCGATACCTGTTAAATATTGTTGTTAACATAACACATAAATAAAATACAAGAATTTCACTCACCAACTGGAGCACAGACTTCCTGGAGGTTCTCTCGCCAATAATCCGCAAAGCCTGCCATTATTCATCTGGTATCTGCATGTAGAAATGTCCAGACGGCTCCAACAGGCTGAGCCTCAGAGCTCTGTGTATTAGCTGAGTGAGGCTAACAAACGACAATCACTCAGCTAGGAGTGACAGCTACCAGAGCCGCCTGTCGCCTGTCAAAGCAGCCACACCCCTAATAATGCAGAACTTTAAGGCTTAATATAATTTAAACAGGTGAGTTATAAAAAAATTCAACTCCCATTGTCACGAAGGGCAAAATTAGCGATATACACTAAAACCATTTTTTGAACCAGGCTTTAAATGTGTTATTCTGCTGTAAAGTTGGGCATTTTAACATGGGGGTCGATGGAGCTTGACTCCCTTTTGCAGCCAGCCTCAAGTGGCCACTTGATGAATTGCAGTTTTTGTTATTTTTGGGTTCAACCCGGAAACCGGAAGGTTGCCACTTGTTTTGAAACCCAATAACTCTAACCTAATAACTGAGCAATTGTCGGAAGAATCAATTGTCTCAAACAAATTCTGTGAAAATTGGAATTAGTCTTGCGATGATTTAGCTATCCAAAACGGAGCTATATGGAAAGAGCACTTTGCAAACCTGTTTGACCAGCCTATTTAAATTCTGACCAACAACAAATATCCAACAGATTGGAGAACCTTGAGTGCTCTAAAGGATAATCAAAACTCATTGGACTTTCCAGTAACTCAGAAAGAACTTGAGGGAAAGAAAGGTGTAGATGGTATCCTAAATGAGGTGCCAGTACATACGGACCTCAAACTGGCCATTCTAAAGCCTCATACTGAATATAGGCCATTTCCCTGACTCCTGGAACAAAGGACTTCTCATGAAAGTGGTGATAAACAACTACAGGGGCATCTGTGTTAGCAGTAACCTTAGGAAGGTGTTCTGCAGCATACTGAAAACAAGAATAAATGACTACCTAAAAGAACACAATGTCTAAAGTAAAGGCCAAATTGGATTTTTTCCATATCATCGAACATTAGAACAGTATCATAATGTGCGTCTGTATTGCAAGGATGTTGCTAAATGTGGTCAATGGATTTTATCATTTGAGATTGTAAATGTGCGTCGCTTTAAATGTTGCTGCCACAAGGAATTGTGGGACGGCATTTTCTCCTTTCCTTTTGTAAAGGATGGTCCGGTGTACCCTGTGTTAAAGGAAGCATTGAGGCTCCTTTCCTTAGCCTTTATAGAATTCCAACAGACTTGTCATGGCTGCCACGGAAATACTTCCGGTTCACTTCACTCAATTAGGAACCTTCCTAAGCAAAACGACTCCCAAGCCAGTTTGTGATGTTTCTAGTCAGGATGCTTTCTATTGCTCCTCTGTAAAAGCTGACAACAACTTGGTGTGGGA